TTTTCACTTATGCTGTAGGATTTACTTATTACTTTCATGATTGTAAGCATGATAAGTATGCCTTAATGTCTTTTGATTAATTTCAATGGATAGAAATGGACATTGGTGAAGTATTTTTTCAAATATTACTTGATACCTGTACCGCTTTTTGAGTAAAGGGGTCTTTACAAACGGACAGACGGACGTTCAGATGGACGGACAAACAAGAAAGTGTAGGGTTTGTTTTTTTTTTTGGAGGCGCGGAATCCCTAAAAAGAATCATCAAGACTCAACACAACATTAAGGAGCTAATTCCCATAATGAAATTGGTAATCAGCTTTGATTTCTAAAGCCAATTTAAAGACATTTCATTTCGTTTATTTTATTTCACTTCATAAGCGTCTCCGGAAATGTAAAAAATTCTTATATTAACACGAACACTACACATTTAATAAAACTATTGTTACGAACTTTCTACATGTTTATGTAATCATTCTAAGGATTTTATTCAAACGTAAGGGGATAAAATAAGTAAAATAAAACGCGATAAAATCTGTAAAAACAGTCTTATTTAAGTGGCCATGTGAACTTAAGCCAACTGCGGTAGGTGCTTATGCTCGTTTACCCGCTACGAAAGTTTTTGAGGAAAACAATAAATAACACGAGCAAACCCAAAAAAGTATGTCATTGGCAGCAACCCTTTCGAGTGATGATATCATAAATTTTATGGAATAATTCAAGGGAAAGAAAGAAATACGTCGAGTTAAGTAGGAAAAATGTCAGTTAATACTAATTATTTTGTTCACTTGGTACAGGTTCGTATTTGTGGCTGGTTTACTTATATTTTTGTAAAATATATTGGACAATTCATCTTCAAAAATGTTTTATTTTGTTTCATGGAACAAAATACTTCACGGTTTTATCGCATCGCCCACCCAACACTCATGGTCACGTGTAGGATCAGGTGTTTGACCTGATGTCATAGTTAACTAATGCTAACTTTAACTTTTAAATATTAATATTTAGTGCGATCTAGGCTGAACGATCTTTAATTTTACTGATTCTGCGTATATAGACGGTCGTAGATAGGGCGTCAAACATTTCAGTCCCTCTTTATCCGTGACCGTGGGTGCTGTAAAGCTGTAAAGTGCTGTAAAGCGCCTGAAATCCAAAAACCCGAAGTTTGAACCATAAATCTATAAAATGAGTTATATGGGAATATTTATTAAGTATCTTAACACTAATAATATAATTAATTATGATAAATTGCTTTTTAAACGGCCGTTAATCTACATGCAAATCCTCCGATATAGCAATTATTCCTGCCGATGACTACCTCATTTGTCATAGGTTAAACCACATATTCGTTTTCCCCATCTTTAAGGATTTATCATGCTTACACAGAATTTGAACAAAATAGAAACTAGATTTTGTTTTATCTCGTATTATACGAGACAAAAAAACGATTATTGATAAAATCATACGTGTTAGAGGAACGCTGCAGTTACTTATGTTTCTAGTACGAATCGGTTGGCTTGACCGGGGAAGGTAAACCGCCCAGAGAATATAAGCGTAAAACAGCAGCTTAAGAATGCACCTGCGTTTCTTATTGTGAGTGTAGAGAACCGGATACCCTATTTTAAAGCGTAATTAAAATAGGGTATCTGGTTCTCTGCACATCCCTAATTTAAACGGGACATTCTATCTTAGTGTTCAAAGGTGACAACATATCTTAGTTTTGTCTTGATCAGTGATAGATGTGGATGTCACAGCATCCAACTACCTCACTCAGGTGGATTCTCGTTTGTCACCCTTTTTCTATGAAAAACTACGCTTTTAACTGATTAAAAGGTATTTCGTCTCAGTTATCAGGGAAGACGACGAATATATTTTGATTATTAATCGAGGATAGATGTAGATCTCTATGGTCCACACTATCCATTTAACACCAGGTAGACTTTGTTCTTGTTTTTCATCATTGCTTGTATAAAAAACCACGAGCTTACCTACCCCCTATAAAAGGCTGGCAATGCACCTGCAATACCCATATGTTGCAGTTGGTCGTGGGCGGCAGTCAACACTTACCATTAGGTGAGCCGCATGATCGTTGCCCACTTTTCAATAAAAAAAAGGAATTCACAATTCATCTAAAAAAATCTTCATTCTTATTCATGCGCTTGTATTTTGAACCGGTGCGAAAGAACCGGCAACGATTCTAAAATATGACATGTGTTCTTGATGGTTCCATTCGATGATTTCGCTATCTTACTGAGTCGTTTCTTATGGAATTATACGTCGGCTTATTACATATTCAACGAAAAATATATTTTGTTGCGTCTGATGTAAAATATTACGTCAAGATGTTATATAACTAGTAGTTTGCTACCTGAAACGACTACTTTGTGGAATCGTTTTGCCACATTTGCCACGATAGGCAGGCGGTATGGTAACAGCGGTTTTTAAGTTTTGAGTTGTTATCCGGATGGTCCTCTTGCCCGTTTCTTGTATCAGTTTAGTTCTGTCGCCTCTTACGACAACTCAGTTATTATAAAAAGCCACTACGCGGTATTTCTATCTCATTAAAATTAAGAATATAAATTAATTTATAAGTGAAAAGTTATAAATATAAAAGGGTCTAATCAAGTCCTCACAGCTATCACTTTGAAGAATTTGCATTTAGTTTTGTATTTATCGTAAGTTTGCCAACTATCTGAACAACTCTCAAGATTAACTCACATTACCCGCATGGCTTATAAAGTTGGTAGAGCTGTGGTTGTCTAATTACACAACTACTAAATGAGTGAACAGTACCGAAAGAGGAATCAGAAGAAATAATTCTTATTATGTACCTATTAATTTTGGTAGACAGAGCATTTATCTTTAATAAAACAAGTTGAATAGAATAGAAATGTTGGCGAAGTATTAAGATTGGGAAAATTTATTTACCAATAACCGCGTGCAAAAGTAATTTTTGGGTATAGGTATAAAATAGTGAATTTTTGATTCAGAAAAGAACTCAGTGAGAGAAACTTTATACGTGGTAGAGCCACGCTTTTTACTGAAAACAAGACATTCTATTTTAGTCCTTAGGGGAGACAACTGCAACTCTGCATTTGATCTTAATAGATGATAGATATAGATGTTATTCACAGCATCCAATTACCATGAGATATACTGTATGATCGTTTTTTACGCTTATTCTATAAAAAAAGTATTTGACGAAGCCGGCTGTTGACATTTTTTTGATTAACTACAAAATTATTTTTCATATTATAATGAGCTATTGGCTGATTTTTACGAGGTTTTTGCTCGACAGCTTTAATTTTTCGTCAGTTTTCAGTATTTTGAGATCTTAGAGTAATTTCTAATTACATAAATACGTATACATTCGAGAAATTTCATGTTGAAATAATGATTTCCACTCATTTAATTAAATAATATTATTACATTTTAACGATTTTATCTCGTATAATTTACTTTTAATACTCGACGTTTCGTGTCCGTTAATATGTTCAAGATCCCCGCCATTACATCAGATGCAAGAGACAACAAATACTCGCAACGATTCCTCACAAGCACGATACGGGAGGCTTTTTAAATAAAAATTATCCTAATTACAATGAAGAAGATGGATGGGTGCTGCCATCTGGCTTTGGATCTTATAATTAACAAAATTAAATCCAAGCCCAAGCATACCATTGCAAGACTTCAATATAACCGAAAAGATGCCGGGCTAACTATGATGACATCGGGACTTTAATCATCTAAGTCTCCCCCATAACCATGAGTGCTGCGAAGCACACGAAACGTCGGAAATTTAATATAAATAAATTAAAAGCGATATTATCCTTAAAAATAGTTTCATTCAATTACACATTTTTCAAATTAAAATTTATTTAATTGCCATAAATAGGGTAAGTGATAGGTTTTTTACAATAAAAATAAGTTGCTTAAAGACCTATTTAGCCATGAGATACGGTATGCAGCCGTTTTTTTTTAAATTACCAAATAATATAGGTGGTAGTCGATTCTAAAATGTCAAGTTATTAAATGTAGGTTATATAATTCAAAATGTCATAATTTACTATATCAATATCATAGTTAATATTTAAATACACTCAATCAAAAATAAAGGTCTGATAAAACAGTGATACGCAGTGATACACAGCAATTACGTCTATCATATGCCAACCTGCATATTATTATCATTTTGAAATTCTTTAACACTATAATAACATTTTCTTATTAGCCAGTCATGTAACTTTTTGGTCATGAGAATCATAGAGCCGTGTTTGAACTGCTTTGGAATTTTATTAAATATTTTTCACACATACAGTAACAATCTAACACAGTAACAATCTATTGCGAGAGGTGTAAACACATAATATCATTACTTTTTATTTAGGGATTCTTATTCCGCAGCACTCAAATATTTCTGATAAAGTACTTGTCAAAAATTTTGAGTTCGTTGCAAGTAAGGCTCTTCTGCAGAAAGATGCAGGTGCCACCACGTTTATTATTCCTAGAATAGCTTGCTGCTTGTTTGTAACTTGAGAGAGTAGCATTTTTTTCCTCACCTTTTCTTATAAATGATTCTGAGAAGCACATTACATCAGGTTCTGAATCACAGTCTTTGAGTTCAGAGAGCGTCACTTCTAAAAGGTCCTTTTTTTGAGAGCAAACCCGCTATATTTTGATGCAAAATAATAACACGTTTTTTGTTTAGATCTTTAACAGATTGATTGGAGGATGTTTTTGGGTTACTGTGTGGAACGAAAAAGATAATTTTGCCGTAAGGGAAAGAAAAAGGCTAATATGGAAGTCTGCTTGTGTCTATATTCACAATTTGTCAGTTTTTGTTGTGATTTCTTTAACACTTTTCCGTTACATCCGCTCCTCTGAACATGGTTCTTGATAATGTTTTCTCGTAATAGAAAGAATCAATAAACATGTTAATACTATGACAGGCGTTCTTTAAATAACAAAGATAATAATTTTTAGTTTCAATAAAGTGACTATTTTTAAACTTTGTACATATTAATTTTAATTGCGTGTTTAAAATAAATCTTAGTTACATTCATTACAATAACGGTGGCATGCTTTAGTAATTTCAACGCAGCATATAATTCTGCTATGGCGGTTACCGGATCATCATCGTTTTCTCCTACACATGAAATTATCTTATCGTATGTGTCTACCTTTAAGTTGGTACATGGCTTTAGGACTTCTTCCGTAAATGCAAATGGCTTGATGAACGCTGTTACTTGGTAGTCCTCGTATCTGCTATTCATTCTTGACTTAGTGAGTTCTGCCGCGAGACCAATGCACTGTTGCGTCCCCATAATGAAGATATTCTGTTTGGTGAATGCATTATTTATTTTATTGTTTTCAGTTTTGTCGCGAGATATAAGCTGTTCTTTATCTCTTTGAGTGTTGAGCTTGATGCTAAGTTCTCGTATTTGATTCTCTAGCTCGGTAATCTCTTTTTTGGCATTCAACAATTGTTCTTGCGATTCTTTCATCTTGTTTTGTAAGGAAATCATCAAGTTGTTACATTTTTATCACATTTCTTTGAAGAAATTGGAGACAAATGTGATGCGTGGCTATATTTAGACGTAAGTGAGACGTGAAATCCCTTATTTATCTCATTTGTGCTTTTAATTATTGGAGATTGACAGATGTTCTTTAGAACCTCAATTTCCTTTTTTAATTTATTTATTTCTCTTTTGTATTCCTTGTTTTCTAGTGTCGTATTCTCTAACTCATTTTGTGTACTCGAGAGATTAATTTTTAATTCTTTTATTTCTTCCTTCATTTCCAGCATTTCGCATATTTTAATAGTTGAGTAATCTTCAATCTTTGAGAGCATTTCCAAGGAGGATTCCTCTAGTTCGTCGCATTCTTCTTCCGTATCGATCCCTCATGAATCAAGCAGAGGTGATGATATATCTACAACTGATTCCGATTTAGGTGACGCAGTTTGTTTAGCTGCTGAGACAGTCTTTTTTCTTGTTGTGATGTTTTTATATTCCGTATGTAAACGTGTAGATTTTAATTCTTTTTGGCTTTTTAAGCAGATTTTGCATTTCCACGCAGCTTTTTTTCTTGTAAATAAATAAAATTTTTACAACAACACAATGAAAGTCGAATCTTTTTTTGCATTGCGAGCATAATATCGTATTTCTTGCCTCTCTGTTACATTTGCATTTATCAAATATAATTGATTGATATCGGCTAGTTTTCATGTCATTATTCTGTTTTCCGTCCATTTTTAAAGTTCTTGTTTAATGTTTGTTATTTTTCTTTTTTATAAAATTTGTATAAAAAAAGATATTAGATAATTTTATAAAAGCTAGCTTTAAGTGTTAAAAAGAATAAAAATAAAAAAATAATTCGAGGATTTGAAGCCTATCTCGTTTGCAGACCGTACCCTCACTAAATACACCACGCGTCACTTATGCTAGCCTTCGAAATTTCTGTTTATGTTGTGATTGCAACGGAATGACAATCAGGTAGTTCATTGACCTTTATTATGGACTGCCGAGTCACAATAGCTATTTCACTTATAATTACCGTCACAATCACTATTCACAACGATTAAATTTTAAGTTATTTTTGATAATATCACGTCATTTAATTGTTTACTATAAAATTTTATTTACTTTCTAACGGTACTTGAACTTAGCTTCACGTATATATATAATTTAGCTGTTAATATGTAACTTTTCGTTTAATTACGAAAAAAATGTACAGAGCTTCGATTTAAAACAGCCGCACGGTCGGGTGTACACGAATTAGGATTTACTCGGTATCGTTTCAAAAATCACAATACATATATACAAAACACCGAAAATCTTTATTCATACCGTATTTCAAAACAATTCTTATGTAATCTTGTACAAAACTTGTACACATTGTCCTTATTTGCGAAGGTCTAAACAACTAGTTGGTTGGCGACAAGATGAGACCACTTCGAAATTACTGGATTTACCGGTGTCACTCTGACACGTGTCTAAAGTTTCACAGATTAAGTCAGTAAAGGTGACACTAGTATTACGTTCCGACAAAGCAATTATCTTGATGTGTCGACGCAATCGTAATTGTAATTTATGAATGTTCTTTATAATAACCATGAGATTACTATTTACAATAATTGTATCATTTTTGATTTACCGTTTTTCATTAAATTTAACAAACGAAACCAAAAGCTTACAACTCACCTAATGGAGAGGCTACTACAGCTCATAGACACTTACAGCCAACAATGAAAGAAAGCTACGGGATTGGTTGTCACATCTGAGGACTGAAATGGAACGCCTTACACCTTGTAATTATACTGTATCTCTGTAACGCTCCGATCGGAACACAGCTGTGCGAGGGTGGCATCTAACCTCATTACCTACTACGCAGAAAAGAGGTCAAGAAGAGTTAATAAAAATTTATCAAATTCATCCATCTATTACAGCCTATGAAAATCTACTGCCAGACCTTAGCCTCGACCGTAGATTGTCTCATAGAGGAGATTTTTTCGTAGTTACCACGCTTGGTTTTTTTTTTCATTTTGTGCTTTATCAGGAAGATGCTGTTGTTTCAATTTACCTCTATCGCCTCTTACGACACCCGCGCGACGATATGAGGTAGTGTATATTCTTACACTATCACTACATGGTATATAGTATGATAATATATCAAATTGGTATTTATTAAATGTATAAATATCACTCAAAATGTAATTAACGGATTTCATAATGAAACCACTCGAACACAAATATGTATTATGTCGCGTTCCACTGACTGCGGATCAATTAGCGGCGTTGCAATGCTTTTGCTTTGAACGATGTTTCATGCGTCAGCCCGTGTCCGCATTATGACAAACATGTAAGTAATTAACTTATAAATATTTACACATAAATAGCTGGCTCGGTTAGCATTATTCTGCTTTACCGGAGGTGGTGCAAATGCGTCAATTAATTTATTATAATCAAATTGTATAAAAATATTAAGTGCGAGAGCTACGCTGTTGCTATATTATGGTAGAAGCATGAATGGGTCGGCTCAACTTATGAGCGAAATATATTAATGTCGCTGTGTTTCGTTTGGTGAGTTTAGACAACCGGATACCCCTTTAACTGAAAATAACATATTACATTTCAGGGGTGAAAACGCATAAACGTAAATATATATGTCACAGCATTCACTTCACATCAAGTGGACAGTGTACTTGTTTGTCAAACTTATTCTATAAAAAAATGTATCTCATCATGCCACGAGGTTTTCGACCCGGCTTAACCAATCAATCAATATTTAAGAATGTTTTCTTTATTGACCTTGAAATTCTAAATATATACTTAAAATTAATAATTATTTAACTCTTTTTGTAATGATTTCTTATATTTACGCGAACACTATACATTGATTAAAACTACTTATATAAAATTTAGGCGGCTTTAAGGTGTAACTTGGAACACCCCAGTCGCATCTTAATCTACTGTTAATAATATAACTATATACGTGCATTCGTATTTTTAATATACTTATAGAAGTCAAAGTAATCGGCTAAATTATCAAATGGCGACATATCATGAAATACCCAGATAGATTACCATTAGCTCAATTCCAATTGCACTCATATAGTTATATATTTCACGATTCTACTACATTCTATATTACTATATCCTTAGATTGGCACATTCCTATAGATTCTAAGACTTAAACAACTGCTATGGAGCTTGGCACCCGTTTAGATCATTTTCAGCTTTTCAAATTTTTTGTAGAATAGTGGGATAGACTTTACATCATCATTACAGCCCTTCACAAGTCCACTGCTGAACATAGGCCTCGTTCACTTTACATGTCTACGAAAAATGTTGTGACATATTTTATTTGTTTAATATGTAAGTTCCCTCAATGTTTTCCTTTTTCATCGAATAGGTGGTAAATCAGAACCAAAAAATATATCAGTAACGTTTCTAGTATTTCCCCAAGGCATTGAATTCTAACAGTAGCCATTTTATATTACAGTAGACTTACGGTCACATTACTTCAGATTATTTGTCATTAACCCATTAGCCTTTCCCGTAGATTGCCTCATTGGAGGACTTTGTCATAGATGCCACGCTTGGTAGACGGGTTAGTATCTGCAGTTTTTAATTAAATTTTAAGTTGTTGTCAGGAAGATAATATTGTCCATTTCCTGTTAAAGTTTCTCTCCGTCACCTCTTACGACAACCACGGATCGATATGGGGTAGTGAGTATTCTTACATCGAATAAACGGGAAATTATGTTTGTCATCACTAAGGTCTCTCCACATGGAATGTCTGATTACAATTGAAGTCTGTTTGACCACCATATAGCAATGTTGTTTGAAAGGTATAAAGAGCAAGCTGTATAATTGTAGGCTTTAAGGCATTACCTTACAAGTACCTTAGTCCTCAGGGGTAACAATGAATTGACCACACCTTTCCCGATTGAGCCAACCAAGTGCATACACAATAAAACAATAGCGAAGTTCCACACGTGAAACCTTTTGACCTTACCTATGTACGTGAAAAATTACAATAATCGTTTTGTACATCATTCAACAGCATTAAGAAGTGTTATAAGTTCAGGATTTTGAAGATTTTGTGTTTGTTTTGTGTTATATTAAAATCTCTAAATTCAGTTTCTTTACCTTGTAACTGAATGGTATCTAAATTTACACCCTTTACTTAATTTCTGATCGACCCGGAAGTATACTGTTAAAAAATATCATGTGTTATTTAGTCCGTCATTATGTACACGTTTGTGTGCAAATAAATGTTAAATAAATAAATCTACTATGATATAATGGCAATAATATTTAACAATTCATTAAAAACTCCAATATATAAATCTACTCTAATCTTGAATTTTATATGAAATTTATAACTGTGGTGAAAAGTAAGGGAAAATACTAGTACACTTAATGAATAATAAGAATATCCATACCTCAAGCTTTGCGTTACAACCATTTATGGTACTTCAATATGACCTTAATAATTATATAAAGACAGGAAATTGAATTAACAATTCATTCTTTTTCTCAATAAAAATGTACATAGTTTCACTGAAACCCACCTTAAAAGTTTAGGAATTAGACCTAGAATTGTGAATATTCTAGTCTTGCTTGATATCCTGAAAGGGAACTAGCATTAAACAATCTAATTAGTTCTTTCGTCTTTGATTTGCCAAAACTGACTAGCAATTCGATTTAAATATTGTCTGTTACATGACCACAGGTCAAAGGCATTTAAGTTTTAAATATCTATGGCACTAGTGCTCTTTTTGATGACACTATAGGTTATGGACTTAAATTAATTTAAAAAAAATATTTATTTTTAGTTTACACATCCAATTAAAATATATAATTTTAAGTTGTTTCGTGACAATTTAGTTAGACCATGACTCGTTGAAAATGTCGTTATCGTATCACTTTGCAGGCTAGGGCTTTCTATATATATTACCGGATGCACTTATAGCTAATTCCTTTACTGGTTTGAAGTT